GAGAGAGAGAGAGAGAGAGAGAGAGAGAGAGAGAGAGAGAGAGAGAGAGAGAGAGAGAGAGAGAGGTTACTGGTAATAAGAGTATGTTGTTGTTTTACGGTTCCGGTCTGCCTTTTTGCAATAGGGTATGTAGGATGTGGAATTCTGTTTTTGATAGGGTTTTTCATGCTTAAGAATAACACAACTTTCTTATTCACACATAATCTTGCGCGGTTGTCAGAGTGCATAAATCATGTTGAAATGTGAAATATTACGTCCTCACAGATGGGGTCTGCAATTGTATTGGGGATCACCGGCTCCTGTTTGCGCACAGGCAGCGGACACAAGGTCAGGAGCAGGCACAGGAGCAGGACTGGATTCCGGACACGAATCAGCACCAGTATTGCGACCAGGTGCGTGAGTGGTGGTTGTGGCGGTTAAGTGGCAGCTGAGTCGCGGCAGGGCTCCGGTCGCTGGTACAGTGGGTGACAGGGCCCAGCAGGAATTAAAAGCTAAGAGAAGGGGTTATAACTTATATAAGTCGTGGTGTAGCTTGACTGCAGGGAACAGTGAAGAGCCAGCTATTGTGGGTGGTAATTGGACCGTTGCATCGACCCTTGTTTTTTTTTTGTTTTTTTTTTTGGACTTATTGCGGTCATAGCAAGGGTAGTTATTTGTCAGAGCCGGCTGATGCGGGTGATAATTAGACTGTCGGATTGACACGTTGGGTATCCTCGTAGGTGGCATAGTTACTTAGTGCCAGTTAGTGGCGCAACCCGCTCATGCAAGCATTGAGAGGTTTAGCTGAATGTTTGGACTAGGCTCATCTAGTTCTTCTGGCGGGGGACTCTTTGGTTCTACTATGCCAGCATTTGGGTCCTCCACGCCTGCGTTCGGTGGCGGGCTGTCGACACCTGCTTTTGGTGCGTCCGCATCTGCCTTTGGGGCTCCGTCCGCATTTGGGGCGGCTTCTACGCCCGCATTTGGCTCGTCGACGCCTTCCTTTGGGGCTTCGACTCCTGCCTTCGGACAATCAACGCCGGCGTTTGGGTCGTCCACACCAGCGTTTGGCGCCAGTCCATCCTTGGCATTTGGTGCTTCCTCCACGCCGGCTTTTGGGTCTTCGACCCCTGCATTTGGAGCGACACCAGGTTTTGGGGCCTCAGCAACCCCACTTGGCGGGGGGCTTTTCGGACAAGGAGCCGCGCAGCCGTCGTCGCCCCTCTTTGGATCATCCGCTGGCCTCCTTGGTACACCAAGTCAGTCGCTTTTCGGGCAGCCCCAGTCACAGCCGAGTTTACTAGGGCAACCACAACCAGCTGCATTGGCATCATCATGGCAACATGGGCTATTTACAAACCCTCAACAGATCCCTATTCAGGGGTCTATGTTTGCGCCTTTTGGGGCTCAGCAGCAGCAGCAGCAGCAGCAGCTTATGACACAAATGGCGCCCGTTGCGCCATTAGGGGTTCCCCTTCCCGACAGGGAGATCCAGGGCGTCGTCGATGCATACAACGATAACCCCCTTAATCCTCGTTATCGATTCCGGCACCTGTTCCTTAGCGTAACCGACCCAATTTATCGTCAGAAGCCCGGCGCCCTAACAGACACCATGTGGGCGGAGGCCATGAACAAGCTAGAGGGTATGAACCCTGCAGACAGAGACAGACTTTGGCCGGAGCTAGCGCAAGGGTTCAAGGACTTGTCTCGCCGATTGAAGCTGCAGGACGAGGCCATCGAAGAGGACACGAACAGGCTTCGGATTACCGAAAATAACGTGAAACAGCTGCAGCGGCATTTTGAAGTCGATACGATGCCGTGGATCCAACGGCTCAGGCAAAAGGAGCAGGAGCTCCAGAGGCGACTCCTTCATGTCATGCGGATTGTGGAAGCGTTTGAAGTGCGCGGAGTGAGGGTGCCGCTGTCGAAAGGTGAGGTCCACCTTGCGGAAAGGTTGCGATCTCTCAGAAGGCAGATGCAAGCACCCTCTGCCGAAATGCCGCGCAGAGCTGATGTGCTCGTGTCGCTCTCAAGATTGAGGAGTGGGATGGGGACATCGGCCTCCGCAATGCTGCCTGCAGCAGCAAATGTTGACGAGACCAGCCTCGCGGAAATGCAGCAATTGCTTAGGAAGCAGACGGATGCCATCGAGAGGATTACAGCTGTCCTGAAACGAGACATGCGGGACGTGGAGATTATGTTAGGAGACACAGATGTACGGTGGGAGGCTCCCGGTGGGCCTGCGTTAAACGGCCACGGTTATGGAGGCCGGGCCAATGGACACAGTTATGGTGGTGGTTCGGGAAGCCGTGGAGCTACCAGGTTGTTGGCCAACTCATACTAGTAGGACTACCTTCTTCCCCGAACAGAATGTACGGTCATTATCGCAGCATCTGGTCTCAAATGTGAGCCAAATGCGGTCAGAATGAGCATATGTTATATTCCCGGGAATGGTAGGGCGAATCCTTTTCCTCAGTAGCGAAGTGCAGGATGCGGACATTATGTTTAGGAGACTGAGAGACACAGGTGTATGGTGGGAGGCACCTGGTGGGCCTGCTTCAATTGGCCACGGTTATGGAGCTCGCGCCAATGGACACAGTTATGGTGGTGCTTCCGGAAGCTGTGGAGCCGCCAGGTTGTTGGATAAGTTTTTTTTACCACTAGGATAACTTTTTTTTACTAGGATAATTTTTTTTTACTACTTGGATATTTTTTTTTTACTACTAGGATAACTTTTTCTTACTACTTGGACAACTTTTTTTTCACTACTTGGATAACGTTTTTTTACTACTAGGACTAGGGCGAATCCTTTTTCTCAGTAGACATAGTAAGTATTGGTTGTAGTTTTTTTTTTTTTAAATTTAAATAATTACTCAACAGATAGCAGTGCGCGCTGAAGATCCTTGTCTGATAAAGTTTTTTTTTTTTTTTTCTTATTCAAAAAAATCAAAACTAAGTTATATTCTTCTCTCATATGCCCCACGCTACCTAACCCCCCCTTCTCCAAGTCCACACTGGAACTTTCCAAGGCCATATGTATCTGCCCTCAATTGTGGGCAGATTCTGACCTTGTGTTCCTATTTTTCATCTGATTTCCTTTCCCCGCCTACGCTCTGCACCTCCCGGACTTCCTATGTTTACTGGAAGCATATGTATCTGCCGTCAATTGTGGGCAGATTCTGACCTTCTGTTTCCCTGCTTCTTTTCCCATCCTTACCTGCTCTACCTTTACCTCTCCTGTTACCTCTAACTTGCAGAATTCTCTGAGTTTTTTTTTTTTTTTTTTTTTTTTTTTCCAATTGCCTGCGATGCCAGTTTGTTCGTCACCTGTGATGCCTTCGTTTTCCCTCTCTACCTTTTTTTAAGCTTTGCTCATTTACCCCTCTACTTTTTTCAACTTTGCTCATTTACCCCTCCACTTTTCCAACTTTGCTCATTTACCCGTCCACTTTTCTAACTTTGCTCATTTACCCCTCCACTTCCTTAAATTTGGTCATTTACCCCTGTACTATTTTCGACGGTACTGATTTACCCCTCTACTTCGGGAAGTTTGCTCATTTACCCCTCCACTTTTGAAATTTGCTCATTTACCCCTCTAGTTTTTTTGTTTTTTTTTTACCTTGCTCATTTACCCCTCTACTATCTTCACTTTGCTCACTTACCCCTCTGCTTTGTTTACTTTGCTCATGTACCCTCTTACTTCTTCACCTTTGCTCATTTCTCTGAGTTCAAATTGCCCCGCGCTTCCAGTTTATTGGTCACCTTCCTCCCCTTACCTCTCTCTGACTTGTGGTATCTCGTCGCGCAGCCTGTTTGTCGGTCACCTGCTTCTGCTTCTCTCCCTCCTTCCTCCCTCACTGACACGTCATCTTTTCCAGAGCCCTAAATTTTCAGGGTTTTTGCAGGCTCGGGTTCGCCATTCTATGACAAGTCCCATAGGTGAATCCCTACCCACCCCCTGCAAATGGTAAACTTGAAGGAGGCCCCAATACCCCCTTGAAAAGCTACAGTCTTCCCCCGAGCAAAACGCGCATGTGTTCCTTACGAATAAAACGCACGGGGTGCGTTGTATTTGTATACAACGCACGTGCGTTATGCTACGAATATAGGGTGGTATCAACTTCC